AAGTAGTTCCTTTTTTGGGGGGGTTCATATATAGAATCCTATAAGGTAATCCCAAAAGGAACTACTTTAGGGCCTATGGGTACTATGTACTACTCACATGACATCGCCTACTGCTAGGCAACTGCGTAATGCTCACTTGTACCTGAATCGAAAGCCGTCTGCATACATAAGTTAATATACAGATAGGTTGGTTCGCATACATACATGCATACATGCATACAGCATACATACATTACATACGTACACACCAACATGATCCAACCAGCCCGTAAAACACTAACGTTTCGTACTTATTATTCGTCGTGGATTTGCGGACCTGATTCCGGTGTATATGTTGCACATATGGGCCCTCTGGGTCTTTGGGTTAGGGTCTTTCGATTAGAACCCTAAACCCCTAAACCTTAAACCCCAACCCAAACCCTTCCACTCCTTCCTAAACCCTAAACCCTAAACCCTAAACCCTAAACCCTAAACCCTAAACACCCTTCAATCCTCTACAACCTTGCACAACCCTGTGGTGCCCAACGGAAGCGTTTTAAATCCCTTATGCAATGCAGCTTTTGTGAGAGCCCCTATCTGATAGAGCCCCCTCAAAAGAACCCTTATATAGAAGGTAATTAATCTAGAAGCCAAAATAGTTACGAATAGTCGGCCTTAGGGTTCCTTAATATGATTGTCCCAGAAAAAGGCCCAAGACCCTATTCTAACTAGTACAAGGCCCCTACAACAACCATGCACTTACTTCGCCAATATGCCAGGGAAACTTTCAGATTATTACTAAGTTATAAGAACCCAAAAAGTTTAAAGGTTGGGTATTGGGGAACTAAGTGCAGTTCTAGAAGCCAGCTCCCGGAGCGTTTGCACTTCTTGTAAGGCTCTGATCTGGATTGGAGTCCTCGGTTGCGTGCGGTTTTGGGTTTTGGGTTTAGGGTTTACCCATAGGCCCTAGAGTAGTTCCTTTTTTGGGGTTCATATATAGAATCCTATAAGGTAACCCCAAAAAGGAACTACTATGAGGCCTATGGGTACGTTCTCGCCACTCGGACGCAGAGTTCTGGGGTTTAGGGTAAAGGAGGCCAAGAAGGGCGTGAAAGAGCTAGGGTTCATGGTCCAGGGCTTGGGGTTTGGGGATTTTGGGCTTGCTGAAAACAACCCATAGGGCAAAGGGACCCTAAGACCTCTATTTTGGAGCACTGACTAGACTCGGGCTTTGGGTTATATTCTCGTACAGTGAAAGACCCTTCAGAACAAGGGGACAACGTGGATCTTATATGAACCCCTTCAGGGATGCCATGAGGTTCGGCAGGTAATTAGTTGGGATTACGACATGTTTCAAATCTTTCCTTGTAGGGTCTCAGGTATTACCCATAGGCCCCATAGTGGTTCCTTGTCGCGGCTTATATTTAGGATCCCTATCAGGGAATCCCAAAAAGGAACTACTCTGGGGCCTATGGGTAGATTCGAGCTGGTGGATGGCAGCCCTGAGGTCCGCATCCTTTAAAGCCCGATACCCACAAGCCTGAAAATTTTACAAACCCCTAAACTGCAACCCTTCAACCCGAAACCCGGAGACCCCTCAAATTGATCCGGGTTTGGGGCTTTCTTGGGCGGCTCAGAGCCAGGTGTTGGCATCTTTGCGGCGTATCTTGGAGTTTTGCGTTTAGGGCTTTGCGCTTCAGGCTTCAGGGTCTTCGTGCCCTAGCTCTGATGCAAATGTATAGCTTCAGAGGTAGTTGCGGGACTTCGGATGCACAAGTTCATGGCGATTTTGGGTGAAGTTCTGGTAACCTGAAGGGTGCAGGTCTTCTGCGATGCTTAAAGGAATCACACCCTGGCACAGCATTGAAGCCGTAAGTGATGAAGCAACAACCACGAAAACGTCCTGGCCCCTCACCCCCAGAGAGCCCAATACCCCTTAATTAAGGAATATACCTTAAATCATAATACTAAGGCCCCTATAATTTAAGGTATCTTCCTTCTTTAAGGGGTATTGGGCTCTCTGGGCCTGTTTCAATACTTGACAGCGGGAACCTACTTGTCTGAATTGCACGGCCTTGTTCTTGGAAGCTTGGGGGACTTACCATCCCTAAACCCAAAACCCTAAACCAAGGAACCCCTTAAACCACAGAATACCCGGAACCCCGAGTTGGCGTAATGTCGCGCAGGCTTTCGGGTTGGGAGGCACGCAATGTGCATGTACACATACACATGATAGGTATGTATATACGGACAGTGAGTCCTTGGATGAAGGCCAACAAGAAAGAGGTCACGAGAGGCACATGGAAGGTCGTTTTCGAGCCCGCAGTGAAACAGCTACATAACCTTCTGCAGGAGCACTAGAAGACTTCAGCGGTCTCGCAGTCCTGCACGGCAGCCGCTCACAACATGAGGCAGGTCAAGCTACCGACTAGAGCACGCCACAACATCGATCAACCGGTGCCAAGGCACAGCACAATCACTAGAATGAGAACTCAGAAGGACACCACGATTGTATTTCCTAAGCCCTATAAGCCTTAAACACTAAAACCCTAAATCCCATTCGCATCAGGCGCAGCCATCGGAATGCTCAAGGCCCCGCTACGAGGACACACGTGGAACAGTGCGTCGTTGCGAGGTCTCATCCGAGTTCGGATGCCGCTTGGCCTGGGAAGGTCCCGTTTTCACATCATGTGTATATATATATATATATATATATAGACTATTACTATATTATAATTTCTATAAATATACATATATATATATATATTATATGTTATAGTTTAGGGTTTTCGTGTTAAGGGTTTCGGGTGTGTGTTCGGCGTCCGCTCCTTGGGAACCTTCTTTGGAAGGTCCGTGAGCCCCTTAGCGACGGCTTGTCGAAGACGCTCGTCTTCCTCCATGAGCTTTCCTGGGTCCGTTGCATTTAAATATCTTATTCCATATTAAGACTCCTGTCGCAGTTTAGGGCTTAGGGCTTAGGGTTTAGGGTTTAGGGTTGGGGTTTAGGGTTTTAGGGTTTTAGGGTTTTAGGGTTTTAGGGTTTAGGGTTTAAGGCTCTTAGGAAGTCCAGGCCAGGAAGGTAAAAAAATAGAAGGGCCCCTAGCATTGGCCAAGTTTCCGACATCTGGCTGAGATCGGCGCTTCGCTTCATGCACGAGCAGGCTTGCCAACCACTTCATCCGCTTTCCTGGGTTCTCGGAATGGAAATTTTGTTTTGAGTTAGCATGGTAAGGAACCTCGACCATTCACTGTACGTCCGTGTTGTGGTAAACTAAACGAAGTTCCTTAACAAGGGCCCAGCTTCGCCGGTGCGACACGGAGTGTTGCGCAAACCAGTGCTTGTGCGTAGCCAGGCCGAGACCAGACAAAGCCATCTCGGACTTCAGGAGGTGGATAAGGTACCTCAAAAGCTCTCTCAAGCAATAGAGGGTTTAGGGCTTTAGGGTTTTAGGGTTTTAGGGTTTTAGGGTTTAGGGTTTAGGTTAATGTACACTAGTAGTAGGAGTAATACAGTAAGGCAGTGAAGGTTTCGCAGGTTGTGCTTCAATCACCACTCAACTTGGAACACAGCTTGCGTTTTATCCCTGAGCAGGTCAATTCGGAACATCAAACCCGAGATCTTAGACCGTAAAACCCAAGCACTACCCATAGGCCCTGAAGTAGTTCCTTTTTGGGGTTCAAATATAGATTCCTATAAGGTGGCCCCAAAAAGGAACTACTATGGGGCCTATGGGTAGGCCTGATATTTTCGACCTCGGACCTGAGTACTCCGAACCTTCAACCAAAAAGCCCAGGCGCCGAGACGTTTTAGGGCTTATAGGGTTAGAGGGCCCTGGAGTGTAGTACCCTTTTTGGTAACCCACTTTGATAGCCCTGAACCCTACACTACACCGTCAAGCCGAAAGCCCCAGTAACCCCAGTTCTCAATCCTCTACAGTAGTGCAGACCCCCTGCAATATACTCCAACCTTCAGGCCCTGCAGCGCGAGTACCGAATCTCTCGACTTCAAGCCCCATTAACCTTAAACCCTAAGGCCTAAACCCCAAACCTTACCCCTTAAACCCTTTTTCAGCACGGGCTTGGATTGTGTGCCAGCGAACACCACCTCAACAGCAGGGCCTTCTCTAAACCCCCACACCCTAAACGCCCTAAACCTTAAGCCCCAAACCCTGCAGCCCAGGTGCTCAATCAAGAAGATACCGCAGTCAAAGCTGTTCGCCTGCTTTGGGACATCCGCCTCCAAGGCTTTCAGCCGTCCGGTGACCTGTAAAAGGGTGCCCCCCTATTGGTTTTTTAGGGGTGCTACGGGCTTCGGTTTCGGGTTCAGGGGATCCCTTAAGAAGGTGTGACTGATCTATGAGGGTCTACCTAGGATTCAGGTTTCGGATTTTAGAGGACTTTAGGGATTTAGGGCTGATGGGCTGTGAGGAGTAAGGCTTTGATGGACCAGGGACCCCAAAAGGGCTGGGCATATGAGTAGTTTTCTAAATCAGGGTCCCTCTTTAGGTCCCCAATGTAGTACGGCACCCTTATAACAGGACCCTAAAAGGGACCCTAATTTAGAGAACTACCCATATGGGGTTTCAGGATCACGGCAACGTCTTCGAGCTCGGGGCTGCTCTTGGCCCCCAACCTTTAAGTAGTATTATTAGGGGTACCCCTTAAAGGGTACCCCTTCTGAACCCTACTTTTGGCTCTCTTAAAGTAGGAAATCATTGAGAGGGCCTATATCCCCAAGGGTCCCCCTAATCCTAGCTCCCAACCTTTTCAATCTTGCGAGACCACTCCGCAGCATCGGCGAGGCTGTCCGCACCACCATGACGCTCGCACCACTCCTGGGAAGGGGTTTTTCTGAGGACAGAACCGGTGAAACTTGCTCGTTTTTTGTGGTCATGTTAGTCTAAAGGCTGCTTTGAACCAGGAAAAGCAAACAGCACGGCGAATGCTTCAGAACCAAGGCTCTTTCCACAAGTATCCTCGAAGGAAGGCTACGGTCCTGCCTTTAAGTGGTGCTTCGACAGCCGAATCCAAGCAAACGATCCGCGGCATCTCATCCATGGACTCTTCTTGGACCGAGTCATCGAAACCTTGCCGAGCATTGCAAATGATGGCAAGCCACCAGTGAATGTTCAGCTCGTTGATGGGCAGGACCACATACTTCTGCCCTAACAAGCCTCCGGGAAGCGACCTCGTCCAGCGTCGGACGTTGTTCCATCCTTGCTCGCCGTTTTCAACACCACCCGAGGTCAACTTCTGGAAGAAGAAGGTGCTGGCTAAGTACAGCTCAGCTTTTGTCTGGTCAGGTGCTATGACGTCCATGGCGAGCCGGAGAAAGAAGTCTAGCACCGAGTCGTTCAGACACTGCTCGTCTTCCAGCAGCATCAGATCCCGGCCCTGGGTTCTTCCCTAACCACCCAGGTGCCTACTATATCGGGAACTAGAGCCCCTAGGGCCATTTTTAGTAGGTACCTGGAGGGTTTGGGCTTGTGAAGAAGCGGTTCGAGCAATGGATTTAAGTAAGTTAAGGCAGCGTCTCTTGTGCAGTCTCATCAAGCATCCTAACCATGTATGATAATTTCCGAGGAGCCGTAAGTGTCAAGCCGTCCAGACGGAGGACGATGCCTTCGCCACCAAGCTGCATTGGAACATTGCCTGAAACGACGACGTGCGGCATCCACCACCGCAGAGCTGCGAGCACGTTGTGGACCTCGTTCCGGTGCGGCACCAACGTAAACTCCGAGGGCAGCCTACCCTGCGCCACTTCGGTAAAGAAGCCATAGCCGATTGGCTCGTGCAGTTTCAATGCAATCATGCGCCCCTCAGATCGAACCGCCATTTGTGAAATGACGCTGCTCGGCACTATTGCCGTTCTGTTCTCTGCTTTGACCTCGGCGGCCTGTGAAGCCACCAAGGAGAACTCGAGCTCCATTGAAGGCGTAGACTCATCTGCTCCACGTTTCCGAGCTCTTTGGGAAATCCAAACATCACCTACGGTGACGCCCTTGGTCTTTTCCCGACTCTTTGATGCGCTTCGGGCCGGGATCACCAGCCGACAGAAAACATGTAAGGGCGTCGCCATCGGCTGCTTCGGGGCGTCGTTCTCCTCCTCTGAGTCGATACATATTGCCGAAGCAGATGCGTCGTCCATCTCTGGGAGCCGAGATCAACTAAGAGTTGTGGATGACGCTTATCCTGCCCTAACCCCCAAGGTACCTACTATATAGGGTACTAGAGCCCCTAGGGCCCGATATAGTAGGTACTTTTGGGGGTTAGGGCTGGCTCTCGTACCAAAACTACGATCCTTTAAAACATTCATGTGCCACTCAGCAGTCACTGGCTCGGGGTGGTGCGGTTTTGTGTTTGTCGCTGCTGCGCGAGCCCCATTCTTGAACCGACAACGAGCTGCACGGTTGGTGTGGGTGATTGTACTCCGCACCGCACAAGCTGGCCGAAATCATGTACTGACTTCAACTGCCCTTTGACCACTCGTGCCAAGGGACTCACGCAGTAGCCCCAGAAATGCAAAGAGGCGCTCGCCAATCTCGGACACGTGGTCCAAGCCACCTGGTGCAAATGGCCGTTGCAGAATGTTGAGTTGGTCCGAATAGGCCGGCAAGCCCTCAAGGAATTTCCAGACTATGGGCCATGGAGTTTCGGATGAGCCTCCCTCGACAGTTTGCTGAACCCTCTAACCCCACTCCAAGGCCTCAAAGGAAATTCAATATGGGAGGTTCCGAAAATTAGGGGTACCTTATTTGGGGATCCTTATAATAAGGATCCTACTATTTGGGGGTACTATATTAGTCCTATTTTCGGAAGCCCCCATATGTCGGGATGTGTCTGGGCCAGCTCATGGGTTGCATTCAGAAGAAAGCCAACTCTCTGCACTTCTTCAGGGATTTTGGGCTTGGGCCTTGGGACTGAGGGTTGGGTTCAAGGGGTTTCGGAGTGGGCTTAGGGTTCAGCTTTGGACTTAAACCCTCAACCCTAAACCCTATAACCAGCAAAAACTTACTTGCCTTTTTGGCCGTCTTTACTGCCTCATAGAACTTCTTCAGTGGTGCTGGCTTCCCTTTCGGGTCGTGCCGGAATGGGCTACTAGCATAATCTACGGCCTCTGGTGTCCTCTAGGATCTAAGGACGATACTGTAAACGTCCATGTTGCGGGACAATCTGAATACTACTTACTTGCGGCAGGGATCAATATTGACTTGTCATATGCATCCCGGGATAATTAACACCCTCAGACAGGCTCCGAGGGCATGCGGCAACCGAGTGATTTGCACCTAAACCCAACAACCTGACTGTTTGTCCCTGTCAGGGATACAGGGTTCAAGCATTGTACGTAGCTGCCCTAATAATTGCCAGCGTTTTGGTGTGTTCTACACAATTCTTTTTACAGGAAAATCACACTCATGTTGCTTCAGGACCCCATATTAATCCTGAAACTCAGATCCCTAACATCTAAACCCAGTGGGTCTAAGTCTAGCCGGTTTCAACCACCCCTCCTTCGTATTGACTGAGGAGCAGACATGTCACGAAACCCTAAACTCTATCCCTAGACCCTAAATCCTCAACATCGACCCTAAATCCGCAACATCCCTAAACCCCAAACCCTAAACTCTATCCCTAGACCGTAAATCTATAACAAAATCCTCAACATCCCTAAACCCAAAACCCTAAACTCTATCCCTAGACCCCAAATCCTCAACATCCCCAAGCCCGTGAAGCCCTAAACTCAATCCCTAGACCCCAAATCCTCAACATCCCGAAACCCTAGAAGCCCTAGAACAAACCTCTAAACCCTAAACCCTAAACCCTAAACCCTAAACCTCAATAGTCGGAACCTTGATCTCCTCCAGTTATGACCAACTCTCCTTCCTTCGCACTCTGGAGCCCTTATACGCTTTTTCGGAGGGTTTAGGGCTTAGGGGTTTTAGGGGTTTGAGGGTTTAGGGGTTTAAGGGTTTAGGGTTTAGGGGTTTAGGGGTTTAGGGGTTTAGGGGTTTAGGGTTTAGGGGAAACCTAAATCCTAAACCCAGAAGCCTCATAGGAATCCTTGTAACCTTAAGGGAGATGGACCGGTCAGAAGCAAAAGGAACCTTTCTGAGGACCCATAGGAACCCGGGAATCCAATCAGGGTAGTATAGATCCGCCAACTT